GCCGCGAACCGCCTGAAACCCACCCCTGCTACATACCTACTGAATGCCTATTTCCTCCTCCTCCTCCTCTTCTCCGTCCTTCAGGTTTCAGCCTTGACTGCAGTGGCTTCTCAGAGGGGTCCCAAGTACAATCTCTCGCAGCAGCCTTGGGCACAACCAGGTAGCTTTTTCCAGCTGTGGAAAACTCTGTGCTCTGCCAGGAGCTTTGTTGATTTCGAAGGCTTTTCAAATAAAGTCAGTGGCAGGTTTTATTCCGTAGCTACAATCCCAGGGGGTTGGGTTGCTCTCCAATTAGTTGTAATCTGTTTTTGATTTAATTATGTAAATCATTTAGCATTAACAGAAGAAATGGATTTTGTATTTTAAAGTGGAGCCTGTCCTTAAGAGGGATTGTCTGTTTTGAGAAGAACTTCTGTAGCCTGAGAGCCTTTCTGTCTTTTTTATTTACAGTGAAGATAAATGACTTGGTGTCATCAACCTACAGGAGAATAAAAACAAAGCTGCCATCAACCTTACAGAGCATGTCGCTTTATTTGTCCAACAAGGACACCGAGTTCATCCTCTTCAAGCCTGTCAGGGTAGGTCTTTGGGAGCATCAGACGTCACTTGTGCGTAACACGTTTGTCTTGAGAGCTAACATGCGCGGAATTCCTGCTTTGCATTGTCCTGCTCGCCATCCTTATTCTGCTATAATTGTCACTTCTCAGCCTGGGCAATTTTCAGACAGCCCGGCTGGGGGATTCTAGGAGTTGAAATCCACCAATGTGAAAATTGCCACGGTTGGGAAACACTGGTGGCTGCCGTCTCTCTCCTGCTTCCTCCTTTTTCTCTCTGTAGATCTCAAGAGTCCAAATTGGCCCTTGGATCCCTGGGCCTGCATGTGTGTATGAGAGAATTGAATGGTGTGACTTAAGTGCTTGTAAGATTGTGCGGAGGATTATCACACAACCTTGGAGCTCAGTATTTCTGCGCATGTTGCTTTTAAGATAATGAAGTCACAAGTGTTTTTTTTTCTTCTTTTCCATTAAGAACAATATCCAGCAAGTGTTTCAAAAGCTGCACGCCGTCTTAAAAGAAGAATTTAGTAATGAAGATCTCCAGATTATAGCTTGTCCATCAATGGAACAGGTTATCTAAGTTTATTTTCTTGTCTTTAAAAAAAAAAGTTTTTAAATAGTTTTTTAAAAACTATTTGTCCTTTATTTTGGGAGTAAAATTTCAGGTACAAAAATTTAAGGGGAGAACGTAGAAAGGATGGACGGGGAGACTGGGGTAGTGTGAATTCCTGAAGAAGTGGCAAGTGGCAAAGTTGTACTTCTAAAAAAAACACGTTTTGTCTTTCAGGTCAACCTCCTTTTGTCAGTAACGAAGTAGAAACCTGGTAGCCAAACCGCACAACGCTGCTTCATGCCATCCAGAGTGGAACCACCTGCTTGCCCTTCGGATGGCTTTTGCCTCTGTGCATCCAACCTCTCATCCCTCCAAGGAGGTGAAGAGCCACTGAGGCTGTTCTGCAAATTCAGAAGCATTCCTGAAGGTTCATAAAAGGCGACTCTCTCTCTCCCTGGCAGCAGCTGCCCTGAGAGTAATATTGCCAGTAATGAGCACTATCACATAGTCCAGTGTTTTTCAACCTTGGCAACCCCAGCATTCGCTGGCTGGGGAATTCTGGGAGTTGAAGTCCAGACATCTTCAAGTTGCCAAGGTTGAAAAACACTGACATAGTCCATACATGTCAACAAACCATCAGACTTCGTAGGGTGTAAAAGTGGTCATGGTGAATTTACGGAAGATGCCACATCATCAGATGATTGTAAAGGTATAGCACTTAACGTAATCTACTTTGAGACATCGGTGGGTTTTTTCCGCTCCAAAATCTTTATAGTGACGAACGCTAACATTGTTCTGTTTTTATTCCTTGCAAATAGATTGCCTTGCCTTAAAAGTATGTCTGCAGGTTATGCAGAAAATACAGTGCAGTGGTGATAAATTCCTGTTTAATAGGTTATGACTGAACTAAAAATTAGTACGTGGAAAGATTTGGAGAATGGAGAATGTCACTATAAAGATTTTGGAGCGGAAAAAACCCACCGATGTCTCAAAGTAGATTACGTTAAGTGCTA